GGTTTTTGCCACAGGGGACATGCGCTTGCCAGAGAGAGAGAAGGCGTGAAAGAAAAAGTGAGAAATGACACCTCAGCATGGCCACACCAAAATCCCTTCTCTTCTTGGGATTTTGTGCATGCAAGCACAAAAATTCCTGGTGGGAATTTCAAGAGTCTAGGTCCAGGATTTGAACCTCGATCAGCCATGTGAAAGTCCAGTGCCTTAAACAACATGAAACCTGCTGTTGCCACTAGCTTCCTCTAAAGCGATGTGTCAGAGTGGCAAGTGTCTGAATCCTGTATGTATCAAATTTTACTTTTTTTTTTTTTTTTTTTAGATAGGTGTTTGCTATAGGGCTGGGAGAGACAGACAAGAAGAGAGAAATCACCCCCTAGAGGGGATGGCCATACCACAATCTCTTCTCCTCCACTCTCCTATCTGGATTTTGGGCACCCACACAAATGCACCCCAGTGTGAGTTTCAAGCCTCAGGTCCAGGACTCTAACTGCGGTTAGCCACGTGGGGGTTCAAGAAAGTAACCATGATGCCATTTCTGGTCCAGAGAAATAACCATGACGCCATCTTGCTGGTTCCAATTTTTTTTCCCCATGGTACCAGGTGTGTTTTATTTTTGTTAATCCAAATACTGTTCTATAACACCCCAGAGCACACTGGAGAATTTGGCAGTTCGATGGGGGAGGGCCCTCAAAGACCCAGAGGCCTATGACATCTGCACAGAGTGCGCGGGGTGGGGGTGGAGTGTTCACAATGTAGTTTATGGCTGTGTCCATCTTGTGAGTAGCTCTTCCGCTTCACCTACTCAGTGGTCTCTTTGGCCAGTAGGGTGTCCTCCTGCGGTTCCATTTTCTTCAGCATGGCTTATTGAAGCTGACGATTTCCCCTAAGTCTGGTTTGTCTGCCATTTTCTTGAAACTGTCCAAGGCATCTCACTTGGAGCCTGGCTCCTATTACTCCCACTGGCTTAACTCCAGCAAGAGACCTGATCCTCAATTTTAAATCAAGGTCAGCTGAATAAATCTTTATACCAAGTTTAACGTATGATTCAAGGTTTTCCAAAACAGTTTTATTTATTAGCATTCCACATACATTAAGGGTTTTTTTTTTTCTCACCTGATAGAATTTACCATTTTCTCCAAACATAGTTGCCTCTAAAATAACATGATGAAAAATACAAAATTGTGATAGAGGAAAATTATTAAGTTCATTATATGAGGAACATAGAAAAGGACTTCAAAAAAGACTCACAGGACATGGGAAAAGTTATAGAACTGACTCTCAAAACCAAGAGACAGATTTGGCTTCTATGAGGAAGAACTTCCTAAGTCAAAGTTATCCAAAGACCAACTAGGCACTTGGAATGTGGTAAGAACTTATATCTTAGCAGAGATCCTCACAGAGTTATCAGATGAAGGGCTTGGACTTGAGTGACTGCTAGATCACATTAAAATTTTCTGATGTTCCGGTTTAAAATACAAATTCCTATGCCCTGCCACTAGAGATTCTAATTTAGTAGATGTGGGAGATAGGGAATCTATATTTTCAACAGATATGCTAAATGGCTCTGATTCACTCTAGGTAATATTTCTTAACAATTCTTTTTAGTCTCCACCTCTCATAGGTGAGAAGCTTTCTTCAATAATAGTAGGAAGGTTTGGAGGGTGTTGAAGGCTGAGCTAGGTAGTTAGAAACTCCTGGACCAGTGGGGATGAGAGGTGCTGGCATCCCCTAGGCAGCGAGATCCCTGCTGAGCCATCAGTGAGATCAGGGAATGGGGTGCAGCCCAACAGGTTGGTGCCAGCTCGTGGTGTGCTGCTGAATATTTACACCAGCAACAAAAGTGAAAGTCCTGACTTTAAACTCTGCCAAATTCTGGAGGGTGTGTACACATATGCACATTGCAGTACTTATCATGAACAATTTCAAGCCATCAATTTGATATCACTGAACAGGGAACTGGGAAGAGAGTAGCATGATCAGCTCATATGTGCCGGGCCTACCCAACTCCTGCCCACTACTAAACCAAAATAATTGTCCAGTGGCCAATGGGATAATCCCAGGACCAGCCATCCATCAAGAAGAGGGTATTGAGAAGAAAGATAAAAGCAATGTGTTTTAGGGCCACTCAGAGGCCAAGCTACCTGGATGGACCTGTGGTGCTGTATGTGTATAGTCAAGGATAGTTAAATGTAGGTTACCAATGTGCTTAATGTGAAATTTAGAATTGAGAACAGGTGGAGTTGTTGATTAAAGGTGAAAACAGGCCTAACCACGGTGGTACAGGTGGTGAGGTGCTGCTATGTAATACTTGGGCCACATGGGAGGCCCAGGTTCAGATCCTAGGTCGACCTGAACGTGCTAGGCCTGTCCACACATGCCTGTGATCCTGGATGGCTAGGAGGCTTGGCAGAGGATCTTGGCTTTGTGAGACCCTGTCAACAGTGTCTATCTCTCTATTTCTCTGTGTGTCTCTTTTCCTAAAGACATCATTTTTTTAAAAATGGGGAAGATAACATTATGTTTTACTTTGTTTTTAAGATGGAAAAAAGACATGTTATTTGTAGTCTCAAAGGAAGAGACCAATGATGGCACGGGAGAATCAAGAGGAAAAAAAAGGAGATTGATGAAATCATATCTTGGCAGTGGGGTGAGATAAAAAGAGAGCACATAAGAAAGACAGGAGGGGAGGGAGAGCTGTGAGGATTTGCACACAGGTGAGGATGTGGATGGACAAGAGAGAAAAGGGTCCTGATGGTCTAATGCACCAGAGAGAGGCAGAAGGACAGATAAAACAAGAGTGAGGACACAGTAAAACACTAATAGTTATTGAAGTTGGAAAGTTATTGATCCAACTAGATGTTGAATGAAGAGTACATGTAGCTCCTTATATTATTATTTTCTTAAACTTATTTTATTTTAAAATTCTATTTACTGAAATTTATTTTGATTTTCATATAGTCATTATACATTTTATAGGGTATACTATGTTTTTAAAATTATGTATATGGTATGTAACAAATAAGTTGAGGGTTAACCATATTCACCACCTTCAACATTTAACATTACATTATGTTTGTGAACATTTGAAATTCACTCTACTGGTTATTTTGGAAGTATATATTGAATTATCAATGAAGTTCTTTACTATGAAATACAATACTAAAGAAAAACAGAAAATTAGACAACAAAAGCCTTATAAATTAATGAGGATGGATTTTTTTAAAACAAAGATAATCTTAACAAAGCCAATGAAAGAAGAATTTGCAATTTCCATGTAGAGGATTATAGGAGAAAGAGTTTGTCATCTGAAAAGATCTGCAGTATTGATCATTGATCCAGTTAGAGATAGGTAAAATTATACATAGCAATAGCTCATTAGGAAGAGATGAAAAAATAAAACTTTTACTCACTCACTTAAAATACCATAGTACTGTACTGTGACTAAAGAAGTCTTCAGAAAAGCAAAAATAAAACAAAATTGGAAAGAGATGTTTAATAAGCGTGAAGACAAGGTAAAAACCAGTGATTTGGTGATTTATAGGCTTTACAAAGTTCTTGGTTTTAACATTCTTTAAATTCATGCCAGAGAAAGACTCAGCCATTTGTAACATTTTGAATTTTTCCTGTTATTTAGTTTTATACAATGAATAATGGTTATAATCAATGATGGTTATAAATGTAATATGAAACCTGTGGAAACAACTGTCTATTAAATAATTGGTAAAAAATTTTTACTTAAACCTGCTTGTGTGTAAAGGAGTTGAATGTAAATTTTTAGCCTTTTAGTTGAGGAATTTAATACATTGACAATTAATGTTATCAATATGGGGGGACTTATCCCTGTCATTTTGTTACTTTTTTTTCCTCCTCAATTGTTTTGTATTCTCTTATTTCTATTTATTTCCCTTTAGTTTTTCTGGTGCATATTCCTTTAAATATTTCCTGAAGAGTTGGGTAGTTTGGTGAATTCTTTCAGACTTTGTTTAATCTGGGAATGATTTTATTTCTTCTTCCCATTTGAAGGATAATCTTGCCAGATATAATACTCTTGGCTGGAATTGTTTTTCTTTCCATTTTAAATATGCCTTTTTCATTCTGCTGCATAGGATTAGAGAAGACAACAGTTTGAAAGGGCAATTGTTTTGATTTTTGGTCAGCTCTTGAGACACCCACCTATGGAGTTTTTTCACCTTTCCAATTTGCTTCAAATGTTTAATGACCATACAGTGGTTGACAATGAGTTCTTCAGCAACTTCTCATGTAATTATAAGAGGATTAGGTTGGATGGTTGGTCTCAGTAGGTCACTGTCAACTTCCAATAGCTGGCCACTATGCTCCACATCTTCAAGATTCTCATCTTCTTTGCAAAACTTCTTGAACCACCACTACACTGTATGCATGTTAGCAGTTCCTGGGCCAAACGTGTTTTTGATGTTGTGAGTTGTCCGTGCAAATTTACGACCCATTTTGAACTCAAATAAAAAAATCACTCAAATTTGCTTTTTGTCTAACATCACTTCCATCGCTTAAAATACATATAAAATAAACAGCAAGTAATAAGTAATTAGCAAAAAAAAAGCGAGAAATGTGCATTAAAATGATAGATAGCTTAACCACATTTATTTCAGAATGTATTCAATATCAAATGGCAAATTTCAACAATGCAAAACCACAATTACCTTTGCACCAGCCTAATAGCCAGGAATGGGGGTGAACTGTGGCATCAAGACCCGACTGAGGGTGCCTGTCTCTCTCTTGCTCATGAAGTTAGATGAATAAATTAACATTAAAAACATCTGACTATAGAGTCACAGAACACTATATCACCTACTTTGGGAAATGCTGACCCAAATTAGTGGATTTTTCACTGAAGACAAACAAAGGAGCCAAAACAAAGGATCTGCTATTACTCGTGCATCGTGATCACTGTAAAATATGCCGATCATGAGAACTCAACACTGTCTTTCTGAGAAAGATAAGAAGGAAAAAGGACATCTTTATGGAATCAAAAACTTTTATTCTGAGTAAGTATTACCGAAATGAAGGCAGTCACTTCAGAAATTCAGGGCCAGAAAGAGATTAGAAGATAATCATAAAAATATTTTGCTACAGATGGAAATAACATGAAACTGCAATCATTGGCTGTAAAATATAACATGTAATCACACTGAGAATAAAAGGTAAAAATCTTCAGGCTATTTGCCCAGGTGGCAGAAAATCCACAGCCCTCAGAGTGCAAGTGTGCGGTCACACCCAAGTACAACGGTATGGCCCAGAGGGGCCAGAGACCCAGGCTAAACACCGGGGACCAAGTTCAGAATCATCTTGCTAGGACAGCTGGGCTTCTGATTGCTTAAGAGAGATCTGATTAAGTGCTTATAATTTCCCAAACAGGGCTTCCAATGAGAGGAGTGACAGGTGTATTACGAGACAGTCACTGGGACTGCATCTGGCCTTTCAGTTTGGCAAGTTTCATGAGGCATTCGTCCCTCCACTGCCTTCGGGCAGCTAGGTGCACTGGGTCATCAGGAACCTTCATGCACATGGCCTGGGAGAGGGAAAAGAAAAACAAATAAGAAGCATGAAGAGATAATTGTTATTTTAGGCAGACAATGCATAAATTGCTTTCAAAGACAAAAGAAATGTCTTAGATCCTCAATTAACATACAGTTTCCAAATCTGGAGGGCCTTAGGTCAAAATAAGCTATTAGTTCACTGGTCACACTGCTCCAAATATGTCCTGGTGACATTATGGAATCATGCACTGACATAATTATGGAAGAGCAGCCCTCGAATCAAGGGCCAAGATTCCAGCCACAGATACAGTCCCATCCTCAGCCAAGGTGAGGGGCTGCAGGTGTATCCACTCAGGGGGCATGCGTCTCAGTAATGCGTCTACACATTTGGATATTTTCAACTGTGGCCCCAGAAAACTTTGGAATGGGTCCAAAAGTCTTTAGGAAAGTCTACATACACCTGGTTAACTTTTCAACTGTGACCCCATATAATTCTGGAATGAGTCCAAAAGTATTTAGGAAAGTCTACACACCTGGTTAACTTTTGCAGCTGTGGCCCCAGAAAACTCTGGAGTGGGTCCAAAAGTCTTCAGGACACGTTTCATGCCTTCACCATACCTGTCACAATAGTTTAACATGCCTGAAATTATATGAAAACGAGAATGCACAAGATCAGCAAGAATATTTTATAACTCCACCCTGAGAAATCTGTTCAGAGGGTTTCCCCTGGGGTCATTCTTCTCTTCCTGTGGATAAAGGAAAGACAAAGTTGGGAAGCATATGTCAGTCTGCTGGCACTGGGGAAGGAGGACCACTGCAGCTTTCTCTTGGATTTTAAAATCCTAAAAAGCACTCCCCAGCCTCCGTCCCAGGGTCGTCTAGGAGCAACCACACTTGCTTAGCGCTGTGCTGCACTCCCCCATGCACAGCATGCACTGTTCCTGCTGCTTCCCAACCCATGGGAAGCCAACCGACTTCTCAGCATCTAAGGATGGGGCTCTAGCATTTTGGTAGACAAATACATGAAGAAGAGGCTTCTCCTGAAGAGAGACGGAGGGAGAAGCACAATCACTTATGAGCAGCTGTGAGGCCACAAGGGGCTGAAGCTGAGACTGAGACTCAGACATGCACCAAGATGAACACGAGTCCAGCTGCAGCACCTCCCCATATGTGGAGCCACCTGTACCAACCCGCTCAGCTCTGCAGGTTCCAGAGCTGCCCCTGCATCTTCCTCCCCTTCCTGCTTCTACCCACACTGCAGGGACTGGACCAGTGCAGGCATGTACTTAACAAGTCAGGTCTGAAGTCAGACCTAGGATCAGGGAGGAGAGGCATTTCTTCTTTTCTTTTCTCTTTTCTTTTCTTGCTATAGGGCACGTGTGCGCACCAGAAAGACAGAGAGACAGAAAGTGAGAAATCACCCCCCAGGGGAGATGCCAATGCTGCAATTCCTTCTCCTCCATTCTCCTCTTGGGATCTTGGGCACACAAACACACGCGCGCCCGGCGTGAGTTTAAGCCACTGGGTCTGGGACTTGAACCGCTGTTGGCTACACGGGAGTTCAGCAACATAGCTATTACGCTAACTGCTGGTCACAGGGAAGAGAGGCATTTCTAAGAGCAGGGCTCCAGAAGAATGAGGAGCTGGGTCTTGCTGTTCTGACTTTGGACATTTTCAATATCTTTCAAAACCAGAAAGATTTAGCAGTTGGTTAGGCTAAACGATAACAAGAGAACTGATGAAACTTCAGAATTTGCAGAGATCCCAGAGTGTGGCTCTCACCTACCCCACAAAAAATAAAAATGATCAATCTTAGATTTTAAAAAATAACCTTTGGGTTTAGCTTTGGTTGACCTGTATGGATGTGAATGCCTAAATTCACTGAGTTTCTATTTTGTCTCAGTTTTCCTTCTCTTTCAGTGTGCTAAAATTCCCTTAGAGGGGAAAAAAAATCATTTTGAAGGTAAACAATTCAAACATTCCAACTGCTGACATTAGAATCTATAAGTAAGTGATAGATACTGTCTTCTAAAAACCAAGGGTTTCGTTTCATTTAACGTTAAGTGTTAACTTGGCAATTCAGAACTCTAGAAGTTTCTCTAAGTGTTCCAGCACTGAACAGTTATCTTAGACTGCTTAGCATTTCTTGGAAATAAAAAACAACCTATACATTTATTTCCTTTCAAAAGCACTTACTTCACTTTACCTACTTGTTTAGTTATTCAAACGAAAAATGATAAAATCTAGACACAAATTTGTTTATTCCTTTTGAAGGGCAGAAACACAAGAATCCAATAAGTTGGAAAGACAGAAAATGGAAAGAAATGAGAAGAGTCTCTGTACTTATGTATTAACCCAACTGCAGAGAAAGTGAGCGTTCTCCTGAGAACCTCTCAGAAGTGAATTCCACTTTCCTCTCCTACATGAGCAGCAGTGCCACAGGATTAAATTCAGGCACCATACTTCATCTGTAAAATCATTTGCATCTCCTTGGAACTTTCTAGAACTTTCTTTCCCTGCTGACTTTTGTAAAATCTGCAAAGTTTTACTCATGTATTATTCACAATAGATTGCACGTAAGCACATATGAAAGAAAGACCGACAGAGAAGCTTCCTCCACAGAGCTTGGTTATGCTGTGATGCCTTTCCTCCCGTTCCTCCAGCCCTCTTTCAGATCTGACACTTGCACACATGTGTGGCATGTTTCAGGCCAACCAGGTCAAGGATTCAAACTGCAGTCACCATGAGGTTTCCAACTTTAGCAGTGTGGTATGCCACTGACTGACTATGCCACAAGGGGTGGGCCAAAATTTTTAGTTTTAAAGAGACATTTATTTCTTCAAAATAGATTAAATGTGGTGAAACTCTTTACAGTACAATTCATCATTCCTCCCCATTTATTCCGAAGTGTATTAAAATTTCAATCTTGCTAATGTAAAAGCCGTTCTGTAACATGTATTCCAGGCTCTCAGGATGAAGAGACCCACTAACTGTGAGAAGATCAAAAAGCCACATGCTCATGGCAAGGTGTACGCAGCCTTTCTTTGCCTCCACAGAGGAGCCTGGCCCCCTGCCAGGGCTCTCCAACATGTCCCAAGTACAAGGAATTCACAGGGACTTCTACTTACAACCCAGGCCTTGCCTTTGTATCTGTAATAATATCCCAGTGCATTTACAGCTATTACTGTTATTTGCAACATCTCCTCTTCCATTTAGAGAGGTGTCAAAAAAGGAGTTTTCTTTTCTTCCTTTCTTTTTTTTTTTTAATTTTTTTGGTGAATTAAGCAAAAATTTTATTTCTAGGCTCTTTAAAGATTATTACAAACACAAAGTATCTTAAAAATGTCCCAAATTAAGTCGAAGGCACATCCTCAAAGTAAAACACTTGTGCCATGAAGAATTCTTCTAAGTTCTCATATTTTCACATTATTTTGTTTTAAATCATTTGCAATGTTTGGTAGGTTACGTTTTAAATCTTTTAAAAGACATGAAATAATGTGGTATTTCTTTTTATAGTACAACTACAAAGTAAAGGAACTTAAGACAACAATAATCAAATCTGTTTCATATACAGGATGGGGCAACTCAAAACATAAAAATGATCTTTCTAAGCAAATTTGCAAAGGAATAGCTCTCATCTTTAGTGTTAAAAATAAAACAATCTTCTCATTTTAAAAAACTAAGACAGCATTTGATTAGTAAAGCCTATTCTTCTCCCCAGTTTTTATTTTCCTGTCTTCACTTAGAAAGAGTAAATTCATAAGAAAAGAACAAAAGTCTGTGTCTGGAATAAGAAATTACAAATATTCCATTTGTTTTAATAAGCAAAAGTCCTTCTTCCCAAAATGTAAACATCCAGTAAATAAAACACACATGGTATTCCAGGTATAGAAAAACACCAGCAATTCACTTATGAAAGAGGTGCATCCTGGCATATTTGGTAGTAAATTATTTGTCCTAAATACAAAGCACTTTGCCAAAAGAACCAGGACATTATGGTTTAAAACTCTTCTCTTTCACCTAGTTTCCTTATTTGAGTAAAAACTCTTCAATTGCTATAAAATTTTGGCTAGAGGGCCAGGCCACAGGAAAGGTCTGAAATATCTAAAAGGCATTTGGCTAGAGATAAGTGTTTTCTTTTTTTTTTTTTTTTTTTGAGAGGTTTTTGCTATAGGGTGCGTGCGCTTGCCAGACAAAGAGAGACAGAGAGACAGAAATCACTCCCCAGGGGGGATGGCCACACCGCAATCCCTTCTCCTCTAACCTCCTCTGGGGATCTTGGGCATACACGTACATGAGCCTGCCCGGAGTGCATTTGGCTAGAGATAAGTGTTTTCTTTTTTTTTTTTTTTTTTTGAGAGGTTTTTGCTATAGGGTGCGTGCGCTTGCCAGACAAAGAGAGACAGAGAGACAGAAATCACTCCCCAGGGGGGATGGCCACACCGCAATCCCTTCTCCTCTAACCTCCTCTGGGGATCTTGGGCATACACGTACATGAGCCTGCCCGGAGTTTTAAGCCACCGGGTCCAGGATTTGAACCGCGGTCGACTACATGGGAGTCCAGCAACATAGCTATTACACTAACTGCTGGTCCTGAGAAAAGTGTTTTCTTGAGACATGAACACAGTCGTTCATCTGTTTGTCCTTGAAGGCATTCCTCAGCAAACTTCTCTGAAGTCTTCAGAGTAAAGCACAGGATCTGGGCTCCCGGAAGGGGTTGCTTCCAGCCGGAACACCTAGCAGCAGCACATGCTTGCAGGCATTCTGCATGCAGTACTGCTGAAGCTCTGCGGCGGCCTGAGAGACCTTGATCCTCTAGCTTGAGCTGATCCACCAGGCGCTGCAGGGCGCTCCCGGTGGCCCCGGAAGAGCAAGTTTTATTTTCAGTGATGATTTTGACTTCTCTATATATCATGAAAGCAGAATTGGGTGGGAATTGCTCTAAAGTACCAATTTGTGGGAAATGAAAAAATAACAACCACCACAACATAATTCACTTCACGCTTTATCCCACTAGTTTCCTTGTCTTATATGAAGGGACTTCAAGAAGTTTGTGGAAAAAATGGTTTATATCTATAATTGCAGCTACTTGGGAGCCCAGGCAAGAGGGTCACAAATTTAAGGACATGCTGGGCAGCGTAGTGAGACCTTGTCTCTTAAAAAAAAAAGGAAAAATGAAATTAAAATGCAAGTTTCTTTCAGTGCAAATAAAATAAAATAAAATAAAATCTTGAAAGCCATGCGTGAGTTTTATGAAAAGTCTTAATTCCCATGAAGTTTTTGAAGACGCTTTATGTTTTTTCTTCTATGCTTCCATGCTCTGTTCTCTGAGTCTTCTAAAAATTCCTGTAGAGTTTAGCTCTTTAAAAGACATTAAACCTATTTTTTTCCCACTCACACACACACACACACACACCAGAGAAAATTAATTGATTCTCATGAGATTAGCTTTCACTCATCTTGCTTTCTAACTGTGATTCTTCAGTGGTAAGCCCCTGGGGAGAGGTGGTGGGTTTTCTTGAACCTATAGACACCCTGAGGTGGACAGGCAAGAAGCCATCCGGTTGGTCAGCACTGATAGAGTAGACACCAGAGGTGGCCTTGATCTGACTGGGACAGAGCCTGAATACCCGCTGGAAG